GGGGGGAGAAAATAAGTAGAACATGCAGGTGGGGTCCTCCAACCACCTACCGTGGGTTCAGCGCTGGTGAGGGAAAAGCGACGATTGTGCATCGCATGCACCACCAACGGCAAAATGTTCACATGTAATTCTTAGCACAACTGAACATTATTCTTTTGACAGTATGAAAACATGTAGAGTACCTTCGAAATCGGAAAATGGCTGTCTGACCCGAAGGTAAAGGGCCCTGTTGAGTAGGATAAAGGTCACACACGTAAAAATCAGTTGCACCGCAGGTTAAAGAGCCGGTAGCCTACAACTCTTGCTGCTGAGATCTAGCAGAGAAGAAAGAGAAGTAGTAAGACACACACTTATTCCTCATTTGAACCCAAACCTACTGACGATGTCTCTCCTTTTGAACAAATCAAAGAAGTCAAAACCAGAAAAGAGAGAAGTAGTACTTGGGGGCAATCTGCTTCCTCTATGTCTACCTCCCAGGCATAGATGTGTCATGCATACTTTTTTAAGGTCGTCTGCCGAGAAGCAATAAGGCCATCAGATCACATGACTTGAGTTTTTGTCTCTTCAGCTGATGAAGTGGATGCTTCCTATCTGTCAACACAGGCCAGTTGTACAGGACCGGACGGATATGTGAAAATGGAGGTCAGTACAGGGAAAGGGGTTACAGGGGGGACCTGATATTGTTATTGAGGAGAAGGAGGAGGAGGACGAAAATCAGGAAGAGAAGGAGGAGATGGAGGACAAGGATAAAGAAAAAAGGAGGAGGAGGGGGTGAAGGATGAGGAGTAGAAGGAGGTGAATGAGGGGGAATGAGAAGGAGAATGAGAAAGAGAAAAAGGAGAGGCAGAAGGAGGAGATGGAGGAGGACGAGACTGAGGAGGGGGACAAGTAGGAAGAAGAGGAGGAGTAATATAAGATATAAAGGAGGTATTATATTTACAGTTGAATTAGATTTTTTTTTAAATACAAGAAACATCTTTTTTTAAAGAACAGTTGAATTGGAATTCTTTTTGGAGGAGGAGGAGGAGGAGGAGGAGGA